GAAGAACCTGAACACATACACTAGCCAATATTTAATACTCTTTCTTTATTATTCTCTTCTTTGCACATATTGATATTCAAAATCCCATGTTATGCATAGGTGTTATAGTTGCTGTGTCTTGATTAGTATTTTTTGAACATGAAAGGGATCTCTCTTAGTAGATCATAGGCTTCAGTGTTGGTCATCTCACAATTGCTCTTTCTTTTTGAATAAGGATTTCATAAAAGCATTAGAAAATGTACTTAGTGCATAAGTTTATTGAAGAAAGTTAATAGGTGGCAAGATAGGAAAGATAATACAGAAAACTAAAATTTTAATGATAGTGGGTATACTATATTTTCCTTTTTTAATTACTCAGTTATGTAATGTTAAAAATCAGTTAAGAAGACACAAGGTGATTTTGTGTCAATTTATATGAAATTAATTATAGTCATTTCACTATAGACTTGCATTAGCCTAAACTGTGGAATAGTTTCTTTTTTTTTTTAAGTTACTACATTTTTTCAGTAATATTAATAATAATGTTGTGTGCATCATTGTATAGATGAAATATTTGCATTTTAAAATTTATTATTATATTTAGATGATGTGAATAGTATCAGTTTACCTCATTTAGAGAAGAAAAGACATGATCCAAATTCCCAAATATTTAATGTTCCTTATACATTTACAGGTATTTCCCTCAGGGATTTTATTCTCAAGAAGTTTCTTTCTCGCTTTTTTTTTTCATACCTCATATTGCATTGTAATATTGATCATGGAACTTTGTCTGAAAAAGTGCAGTGTGATTTTCTGAACCCTTGATGGGTTCTCCTCATACATGGAAATATAATTATGGATTGATATGATTCATTTTAGAATGTAAGTTGTAATGCACCTCTCAGTGCATAAATGTGCATCAAACAAGGATCAAACTAATTGATAACCAATTTCAGAAGAGCATCATGGTATGTTTATGTTAGCGCTTCCAGGAATGTGAAGCTCCCAATGTGGTGGGGCGCTTCTTGTATGGATAAGTGACATCCTCTTTCATCTCTCTCTCTCTCTCTCTCTCTCTCTCTCTCTCTCTCTCTCTCTCTGTGTGTGTGTGTATATATATATATATATATATATATATATATATATATATACCCATGGGAGGCCAGCATGTTTTCTTCCTTCTATCACAATCATGATAGTGTTTTTCCTCTAGAGCAGCATGGAGTACAGCTAGTTGGTCTTCTGCATGACAGTTCTATGACTTCTGAAAGACGTGTATCGCATAAACCCAAAGTAGTTTCCTTTCAAGGTCGTGCATCCATTATTTCTAAAATTGGACATATGAAGCTCAAACAGAATTCTCTTTAATGTGATAGTGAAACCAAAAGGAATGCATTATCTGCAATGAATTTCTGATAAATTATTACAACATAGATGCAAAATATTACATAATAGTAAAATACACGTTAATCTTCATCAGTAATTGTGTATTTTCCTAACATAGTTACTTATTGTTTATTTGCATCTATTGATTTTCTTGCCCTTGCTATGTCCATAATCAGTCATTGACTGAATCCTTCCTGGAAATGCATTTATCTGGAAAAAATAGATAATAGGATTTAAAGGAACATTTTGTAGGCAAATCCTCTTTTATCTTTACATTAAAAGGACATCGTTTTCTAGTATGAATTGAGATGCTGGATTTCTGCAAAATTGGTGTTTTTAATTTCATGAAAAACAAATTTCAAGCCACCAAAAATAATAAGCCTTTGCATAAGACTATAAAAACTGACTTAAATATTTAGTACAGTACATGCTGAATTTTTACTATGGGGCTTTATAACCCCAAACCAGTTTGAAACCTTAAAGAATAAATGTCATTCAGAACATGAGAAGGTGTTGCCTTTAATGCATAGGCTTGCAGATTATCTCTACATGAAGACTGATAGCATTAAGAACAAAAATCTTATGATATAATACAAAATGCGCTAATTGTTAGTTATCCACGTCAGACTAGTTCCTTGTTACAGTTTATGAAAAAATACAGACCTTTTGAAAGAATTTTTATCATAAGTTAAGTCGTAGGGATCAATTACTTATAGCAATATTTGCTTTCCTGATTGGAATGTATCTATAATAATGTTATGAAGATACATACACCCTGATTCATGTACTGAAAAATATTATCAAAATGTCATATTAGTTTTCCTCTCATTTCATGATTCATGAATTATAGATGCTTTTTTTAAAATAAACATTATGTATGGTAATTTATATAATAAAAGGAAATAATGGTAATGTAATAATCACATGCTTCACAAATATGAATTTTAATTAGTATAATTGTTAATGTTTTATAGATTTAACTATATAGGTACTTAGAAAATACCACTTAGTAATAATTTGAGGCACTTAAATGAATGTATTAGGAATGTATAATTTTTTAGTTTAAACAGATAGTTACCAAACAGGACAATTTTTAAGGGAGCTATTACTTCTTATATTAGTTCATATATTATATTCATTCATACTAATGTTGCATTCCTATGTTTAGGAATAATTTTGCTTAGAGATTGTAGAAATATTTATGAAACAGAAATATTAATGCAAAAAAGTCCATTTTTATTGTTTCATTTCAAATGAATGAAAATGGCTGTATTTATGTTTTCCTAAATATTTAGGCATCAGAATTTGTAATGAGACTGTTCTTTGAAGAATTGTTTTAAACTTTTCTATGCTCAAATGTGGAAAATTTCAGATAATATTGGCTTTTCATGCATTTTATTTAATAACAGCAAAAGGAATCATAAAAGGAAGCTATATGGCTGGAACAAATGGAGACTATTTCTGAGAAACTGCACTCATCCTTGATTTTTGATTTACTTTTATCTACCGCAAGGTGATAAATTTGACAAAAGTCTTCTTAATGGGTTCTCTGAGCAGAGAACTAGTTTTCATGCTCTTAATGAAGTGTCTCATCATCCACTCTTTTCCTGTCTAGTGGGCTGAGGCGCTGTGTGTATCAAGACTTCTGTCTCCAGTGAAAATCAATGCTTCAAAAATCTATTAGGCAGTTTATGCTAGAATTGTTTCACCTTTAGTTCTAAATAAGAATCATTTATATAAATACAAAATACTAAGTCATAGTATGCATACACATATTCTAATGTAAAACAATGCTTTTTCCAACCATTAGAATTAATCTAAATTTTTTATCGGCCAAGGAAATCGGTCAGTATATGCTCTAAGTCACATAATTGATACCATTGATATTAATCTATGGAAATTATATTCTTAATTTAGGCCTTACGCTTAAACCGCACTTTAGTTTCATTAAATTTTTACCTTAGCTTGTCTTTGCAATACCTAATGGATGTATTCATTTTGAAGAAGTGGCACATACACGTCTCATCCTGATCCTTTTTACTTCCTCTTCCTCTCCTCATTCCCCCATCCCAAGATCTCCTAACATTGATTTCATTCATATCACACAAAGGTTTTAGCAATACTTAATCTTTAGTCTTGTCTTAGTCACTCTTATTCTGAATATATAAACTCTCAGACTGTAGAACTCATCTCCACAAACCCACAGAAAGACCTGAATTCAGATCCTCTTTTCTATTTTGTAATAATAATAGTATTAGTAAGAGAATCAATATTACACAGTGGGTATCACTACAATAAAATCAAGTGCTTAGAAAACAAAACATTTCCAAAAGATTCTTGTTTCTTTATACACTTCATGCTCCATCTTCTCTATTTTTTTCCTAGTACTTTGTCTCTGAGGACTAGTCCTCTGAAAGAAGCTAGAAGTGTTGGTACCCACACATCCAAATCTAGTCGATTTCTCATGATGGTAAATTTGGAAGTTGATATTTCCATACATACTCTTTATTTATTGCTATTTGTTCTGAAAAATAACCTGTAAATACCATGTCTCCATCACACATTCACTGGTATAAGTTAGTCCTTTGACTTTTGACTTCCAACACTCCTTCAAACCAGAGGAAGTTTAGCCCTTCGAGATATTCTCTAGCTTATACTCCTTAGAATATTTTTGAAGTAATCATGTGTCCTTATTACACTTTACTCATTTTTAAAGATTATATTGGCAGTATCTCCCTGCTTCCTCACAGATTTGATGTCCTGCTGACTTGATGAGGAGTATAAGAGACGAGGAGAGGAGATGGTAATGTGTTCAGGTCATTGAAAATTTTGCAGGTTCTGCATTTCTATTTTAATTGACAATCATTAATATTCTGTATGGTCTATGCAACATTAATAAATGCTTAATTGTTAATTATCACTATATCATAGATATAGTAGATTATAAACCTACTTCTTCATACATAGAAAATTTTGCAATGTTAGTCCATGTGTTTGTGTGCAGTACACAACATATAACTTCAACATGACTTTAGTCTTTAGTGATTAATTTACAAATATAAATTATAGGACTGGTCACACTTGCCTATAATTGAAGCTACTTAGGAAGCTTAAGCAGAAAGATCACAAGTATGAGGCGAACTGACAGCTTAATAGGACACTATCTCAAATTACTTTTAAAAAATCTTTTACATGCACCACTTCCTGTGCTTTCTATGCTGTCCAAATTATACTTGGCTTTAAAACCTGAAATCTATTTACTTTTTTATTTAGAAGTGAAATTTGCTTTAAGACATTGGCTAAGAACACCATTGATCTCGATGTTTCAAATCTCTCTAGTCTCTCCTTCCCCTCACTAACAGTATGCTGAAAATTTAAAATAAGGCAAACAGAGAACCCCTAGTTGAAAGTTTGGACTCCACAAATATAATGGGAAAAGATTTATGTTTACACAAAGCTCAATCAAAGGAAATAGTTCTGCAGCCAGCAGGTAAGATGCTATCTTATTTGCTTAATGTGCGGCTCACTGAATCTTTATTGCTGTATTAGAAGAGGCAATTTCCCATGCCAAGATTTAATTAAAGCTTAAATATTTGAAGGAGCAATGATAATGCTGTCTCTAATAAAAAATTTACCTGTCTTGGGATCGATAGAGAAATAAGGCTGTCCCTGAAGGATGCTGTAAACGACTCTGGCGCTGTTTCCATAGGTCGGGTCATCAGCATCCGTGGCCTTGACCTGCAGCACATAGGCACCTGCGAAGAAGATAATACACTCTAGCACTTTTTCTTTACAGATGTCAAGGTCATATCCATTATCTGGTGGACTCCATTTTTCACTGAAATGTGAAATTTCTCAGGGATCGAAGGATTCTATTATGTCACAGAGGATAATGCTAGCCACAGTGCTGAGCAATGATTAAAAAAATCCAAACTATTATGAAGTATCATGTCATTCTAATAAGAATGGATATTACAGACAGACACACAAAACTGATTTTAATTAGGACTACAGAAGATATGGAAAACACTCCGGCACACTGGTTGTAGGAGGCACACTGGTTGTAGGACTATAATTTGCTGCAGCTCTTACGGAAAAAATTAGAACTTCCATAGGAATTGGTATTTCCAGTATTGAGTACATATCCTAAGAATAAGATATTCGTATTTTAACATGGGAAAAAGACCTTGGCACTGCCATGTTCATTTCAATACTATTTTAAAAAAGTCAAGAAGTAGAAAAATTCCAAGTGTCCACTAGCTGATGAAAGACAAGATCAAGCATAATCTCATTCTTGGAATCTGAAAAAGCAGACTCCATACAAGGGTGCCATTTTGTTTGACAGAAGTGAGGAACACTACAGGAAGGCTGGTAGAGAGAGGTTTTTTGATGAATGGGTTCTGAGTTAGGGTTACATAGGAATGAGAATTTCTGACACTCTATTGACTATTCTCTGGGTGTAGAAAATAACATTGGGCTCTGTGTGTGAAAAACTAAAAGAAAACATGTTCAAAGTTTTCGCCACAAAGACATGATAATTGCTTGAGGATACAAGTGTGTTTAATTTAAAAATTATGTAACATACGCATGTATATAAAATAATGACCACTAAAACATGCAGTTTTTATATTTTATCAATTAAAATAATGCTGTTTAAATAACTGCAATCATATATGTTACTACATATTTTAAATGTCAATCATGATAGCTATATTCATGTCTAGTAGCTAGATCATTGAGCTGAAAGTCATCACAATAACGCTATCGATGTGTGTACCAAAAACATGGAAACCACTTCCATTAGCTCACCTACTTACTATAGATTCTTTAATTTCATGATTCAAATATCAATAGACAAGCTAAAAGGTTTAAAATGGCTTAGTGAGCTATGAGTGTCATTGAGTTATTCGCCAAAGAAATTTGCAGATCAACAACTACATGTTAGCATCGGGAATCTTTTAATTAGAAAAAAATATTTAAGACATTGAGAAATAATAAAAAATTGCAATTTCAAAGATCTACATAACATCTGTTGGTCTCAGGACTAAATTGACTTGAGAGTTCATAGAGATAGGAAACCCCTATTGATGAGCTAAATTATTGTAGTTTTTCTCCTGTTTTAAAACTCTAGAATATACACGAACTAAAGGAAGTCAAAAGTTACTCTTGTATCTTTCTTTATATTTTCATAAAAATGTATAAATAAGTCTCCAATAAATTTTAAGTACCCCCTTTCTAATGTTCTGTTCAATTTACTAACTATAATTGAGACATACAAAAATTGAAGCTATCAGGGGCTGGGGATTTAGTCCAGTGGCATAAGTGCCTGCCTGGCAGGTGTGAGGTTGTGAGTTCGATCCCTGGTACCCCCCCTATTGAAGATATTATTTGTAACAAATAAAATTCATTCCTGTTACTTAAAAATCTTTACTGAACACAAAGGAATGGGAGTATCTCAGAGTATCTCACACAGCCCTCTTTCACAAGTTTTAGTGTTCCACAATTCTATCCCTTGGAAGTTTTCATGGCTTGTATATAGATTCCTCCCAAAACCTTATGTCATCATAGGTGGGGATTTCCAAGGGTGTCTAGTATGTGTATATCTGTACTAAAAGTATGTGATAAATAAATTAGCTCCCAGATTTCTTCAGTTTAGTTCTGGTCTGGAATAATGAGATGACCCATCCTGGGTGTGGATGGTGACCACCATTTGGCTAACAGCCTTAATGGAATGAAAAGGAAGTTGGTCCAGTGCTGTGGCTCTGCTGCCTCCTGCCTCCCAGGGGGTGCATTTTTCTCCTCAAGGATGCCTCTCTGCACTGCTGCCCTGCCTGGGAGCCCCACTGAGTGTGAACTAAACCCTCAATAAACTGTGACCTAAAAGAATCCTTTCCTCCTTTAACTTGAGGGTCTTAAGGGTTTTGTCCCAGAGAAAAGAAAAGAAACTGAAGTGGAGGCCTTCTAATAACTTAAGCCTTCTGTTTGCAGAAAGCAGTATTGCCCTTCCTGTGCAGTCATCTATTCATTGCCTCTTCTTAAGAAACTACCAATTTAGATATTGAGGCCAGAAGGAGTCACGCTTTTAGCTTTCCTTTATTATTTTTTGTAATAAAGCATTGCCCTGATGACAATAGCCAGAAACTATAGTCTTCTGTATACTTTCATTGTCAAATACTTTTGTTAACAGTACTTCGATGAATTCTAGCTGTATGAACAGATGAAAAAAAAAAAAAATGAAAGAAGCTTTCCCCAGCACAGGGAACTTCTAGAAGGTAAGTAAGAATATATTAATAAAAAGCCAAATGTGATAGTTAATCGAATCTATCATCATCACCAGCATGCACATCAACGTCAATATTTGCCCTATCATTAATCATAATTTGGCAAATGTTTCTTTCTCTGAAGCATGGTGTACCCGTCTTAAAGATTTATTAACTCTTCCTTTTACTTACTACTGTAGAAATACAAATTTTATTGACAATAAATCTCAATAGGGATTTGTACCTCAGACTTTTTACCAGTTTCGCTGCATTTCCATTTACAATGCATGTGTCAGGTGGACAAAGTCCAATAATTTAATTGTACTCAATTTTAGATATAAGTAAGCAGTTGAAAAACAATGAATTGTTCAAGAGAGCTGGTGAATTTGAAAAGTAAAGTATTATATTTAGCATAATAAAACATAACATATTTAGGGAATTAAAATACTTAAGTAAGAGAAATATAGCGTAACAAATTTCATAAATGCTTCCCAACCTGACACTAGATGAAAAGCACATGAGGAATGTAATTAGAAGCCAATAATATCTTTTTTTTACAACTTTGTTTTAAATTTGAAAATAAACCTCAACTTTGCATAAGAAAAAAATTATTTCTTCCAAACTTGATAATATATTATTTTTGTTTGAGGTTTTCATCTTTAAAGAAATGAATTGAGAATTTTTTATTAATTAAGTTTCTTGGTACATTTTAGTGCACATAAAGATGACATAGGTTATAGGAAATTTATACCTGTTCCTAATATATCTTAATTTTCCTCCATTCCATCAGCCTCCCTTCAACTCCTCTTTCTTTCCATATTTACAAATGCTTTGTTTCAATTTTTCTTCCTTTTCTCATCATTTTTCTCTTTTCCTTCCTTTTCCCTCTCTTTTCTTAATTCCCTTTCCCATTTAAACATTATAGATAAAAATAACAGATATTTATTGTTCTTTCCCAGTCAAAATGTTCACAGAAGAGCAAAAATCACACTGAGATATATTTCTGTAGTTGATCTAGTTATTAAAAATAACTATTGATTCAAACTCAGAAAGCCCAGTCCTTTTTCATCCAGGGAGCATAGTTCAGTATGAATTCTCCCAGAATACTTAGCTTGTTTTAATAAGTGTCTTCAAGGGCACCATTAAGCACCTTCCTATCATCTTGTTTTTCCAACTGCTCTATAGCGTTCACCAAATACAAGCAATTAAGAGAAATTTCATGTTCCTCTAATCAGGAAGCCTCTGTGTATGGTCTGCAGGATATAAACCTCCCTTCCACAACAGCTCTTGACACTGTTTCTTTTTTCATTATTAATTGTGTTGATATATTTTAGATTTATATGATGATTGCATGCACCCTAGAGAGTTTGTTCCTGTGCAAAATATATCTTGATATTTCTTTCTTCAATCCTCTACCTTCCCTTTAATTTCTCTCCCCTTCCTTATTTACCAAAGCTTTGTTTCCATTATTTGTTTTATTGCGTTTTTTCTCTTTTTTCTTTCCCCCACTCTCCTCCCTTGTTCCCCTTCTCATTTGAATACTTCCTCCCCATTTCCTGATTTCTAGTATACATTTTGGTCCTTACTCACATTTTCTGCTTCCCACATCAGAGAAACAATGCAATATTTAAACATCTGTGTGCTTTTATTCTCCTTCTTCATATTTTCCCAAAACAATTAAAAGCCTCATGCTGCAGTCCTATATGCACAACCATGTGTAGAGCAGCACAATGTGTAATAGCTAATTATTGACATCAGTCCACATGCCCATCGGTAGATGAATGGATAAAGAAGATATGGTATTGTATATCATACAATACTACTCTGATATGAAGATGATAAAGTTGAGCCAATTATATGAAAATGGTTGCACCTTGAGGCTCCTGACACTACTAAACACTAAATACCCAAGAGATGGACGTGAAAGCTATGGAGAGAGTCACATATGATGTGCATCGTGAAAATAACACAACATTCAATAACTTGCACAGAGACTGCATGTTCCTAGTACTGTATGCAGCAATCAGCCTGGAATTTATTCTCTTATCACTTAAAGCCAAGGAAGGAAATTCAGCCCCAGGAGTAGAGAAAGAGAGAGAGAGAGAGAGAGAGAGAGAGAGAGAGAGAGAGAGAGAGAGAGAGAAAGAGAGAGAGAGAGAGACTACCTCAGAGAAAGCACCGCTTTATGCACCACTTGACATGGAGTGCAGAAATTATAGCAGAGGACCTAATCACTTCAAGTTTCCTTTAACACTGTTCTGATCATCAGCAAATCAACTATGTCATTTTTCAGTAACAGTTAATGTCAATACTAAAAGTTAGCCTGAGAGTAATAGCTCAATTTTAAATTTAAACTGGCGCTCAAAAGAGAGTAAAATATATAGAAAATAAGAACAAGGGAGAGATGATCACTGAAAGCACAGAACCGTGATGAACAAAGAAAACGTGTCAGGCAGAGCCTGCTTGGTGGAGACCTATGCAAATATTCACTAACT